CACCAGCTCCCGGACGACAAGAGTCCTCTGCACCCACCGGGTCAGCTCCAACTCCAGAACCAGAAACTCCAGCTCCAACTCCAGCACCCCCAGAACCAGAAACTCTAGTGCCTCCTCCAGCTCCACCTCCTGCTCCAACACCAGCTCCACCTACAGCTCCAACACCAGCTCCAACACCAGCTCCAACTCCAGCACCCCCAGAACCAGAAACCGGTACAGGAACAGGCGCAGCACCAACCTCTCGAGAGCTAGCACCAGCGGCACGCTGCGAGGAGGACTGTGGGGAGGGAGGCTGTACCGGAGGGGCTACCGAAGGAGGAGGGGTAGCCTGGGACACACCTGACGGGGCTGGGCCAGGGGGGGGAGGCTGTACCGGGGGAACAGGAGGGGGAGCGGCAGTCAGGAAGAGGGGGGGAGGAGGAACCGGGAGACCTCGATTGGGGTACCTAACGTAGTACGGAGTGGACTCCTCGAAACGGACGTCACGGGAGTCAAAGAACCGGTGAGAGGGAGGGTGGTAAAAGGTGAAGTCAGAGGAGTCCTCAGGGAAACCAAGGAAGACACAGGGGACGGCACGAGGCGAGAGCTTGTCCGCGGAGGTGTCGCGGACAAGAGCCAAGCACCCCCAGACACGAAACCGCGACGCAACACCAGGGGACCCTGTCCAAAGACTGGTCGGTGAAACCTCTGGTCGAGAGACACGTGGCCAGAGGTTCAGCTGGTGCGCGGCGTACCTGACCGCGTAGGGCCACAGAAAATGGGGGGCACAGGCGTGAGTCAGGGAGGTGCGGGCGATCTCCATGACCAGGCCTATGCGGCGCTCAGCAACCCCATTCTGCTGTGGGGACTCTGGAAGCGTCCAGGACTGACGAATGCCCTGCTCGCGACAGAATCCAGCGAGAATGCCGGAGCGAAACTCACCCCCACGGTCGGAGTGGAGACAGCTGACACGACGACCACGAGTGTCCTCGGTGGTGAGCAACCACCTGATCAGCGTAGAAGTCACCTCAGACTTCTTCGCCAGAGGGAACACTGTGGTGTAGCGGGAGAAGTCGTCAACGACCACCAGAAAGTAACGCTCACGCTTAGGGCCTAGACGAGGGGCGGGGCCCCAGACGTCCAAGTGAAGCGTCTCAAAAGGCTCGGTGGCCGGACGAAGGGAGGAGGAGTGAGGGGTGGCGCGCAGCCTACCCTCGACGCAGGGACGACACGGCGGCGCAAGCGAAGGCGGCAGCGACGGCAAGACACGTGGGAGACCTAGGACAAGACGCTGACTAGACATAGCGCGCAGACGAGGAAGGGACGGGTGCCCCATCCGGTGGTGCCACAGAACGGTGGGGTGGGCAAGCGACCGGCAGGAGCACGACGCAGCGACTGGAGCAGACGTAGGAACCTGACACGACACAGACACCTGGGGGGACGAAGCAACCTGGTGAGACGCGGGGACCCGAACGGGGGGGGGAACCGGGGGCAGTGGCAGTAGGTGGGGCTGCTGGTGCGGCCGCTAGTGCTGCTGCTGCTGCTGCTGCGGCTGCGGCTGCTGCTGCTGCTGCTGCGGCTGCTGCTGCGGCGCACGCGGGCCAGTGTGAAGAGTGTAGAGACCCAAGCCCGGCTCAGCAGTAAAGGTAGCAAGAGGCTGGTAAGAGTCTCCGTCAACACACACCGCAGTCTCTCCAGAAGGCTCAAACCACACACCCACGTGCTGACTCACGAGGGGTCGCACGCCCACCAAGTTCCGGGAGAACGAGGGGACGTGAAACCCAGTGAGAGTCCCGGAGGGAGCAGCAGGACAAGGTAAAGTGGTAGTGTGACGTGCAGTGACTGGTCCCGTAGTGGGATCAGCCAACGCTACAGAAACAGGCGCAGGAAGTGGTGTAAGTGTCGTGCTGTCCCGGAAGAAGCAGTGGGAGGCTCCAAAGTCCAGTGTGAACGACAGCGAAGCGTCGTCTGAGGTAGTCGCTGGTCTAGAGTCTACACAAGTACCTACACTAGCAACAGGCAACTGAGCAAGACTAGCACCTAAGGTAACAACACCAGAGTAAACAGAGTCAGAAACACTAGAGTCAACAACAGCACACATAGCATGAGGAGCACTAATCAGATCAACTAACTGCTCAGCAGACATGCCCCACAGAGCGGAGCCGTAGCGCTGAACCAGAGGAAGCCAGTCAGGAGCAGGACCGCCAACCCCGTAGGTCAACCGGACCGTGTCAGTGAGCTGAGCAAAGCACTGACCAGGGGGGTGAAAGCGGCCACAAGGGTGGCCCCGACGAGGACCTGTCTGAACCTGGTAGGGGCAGGGAGGGTAAGCCGCACCGCGCTGGGGCTGACGCAGCCCCGACCCCGGAGCCAGCTGCTGACGCTGCTGCTGCTGAGGCTGCTGGGAGGAAAGGGGCTGCTGCTGCTGCTGCTGAAGGTGCTGCTGACGCTGAGCCTGGTACCACGCCGCTGCTCCACCTAGCGGGGCCGGCAGTACAGGAGGCGACTGACGAGCTCGGGGGTCGCCGCCACCAGCAGGTGCAGTGGAGTCACCAGCCGCTGCACGAGGGGTCTCTCCAGACGCTGCACTCCCACCACCCCCAGTCGCAACAGCACCCCCACTACCTCCGCTACCTCCGCCTCCACCTCCACCAGAACCACCTTTCTTGCCCCCCCTGCCGCGGGACCGCGACGCAGTCGTAACAGCAGCCGCAGTCGCGTCAGTAGCGGCAGTGGCAAGAGAGGCAGTAAAGGTAGGTAACTGCGGGACTGTGCACCCGTGGAAGAGTGGGGGGGACACAGTACCAGAGGCGGCAGCTACCGAACGAAGGTTGCTCTCGACGTCCTTGAGTGCAGACTCAAGGACCTCGATAGTCAGCTCACTAGGGTGCTTCAGCAGAAGCGCGTCACGAACGGAGGCAAGGCGGTCAGGGAGGCTAGTGGCGATGAAATAGACAGTGATCGCCATGGGAGGAGGAAGCAGTGCAAGCTGTGCCTCAGTGCAAGCAGCGCGGTAACTAGCGTCGAGCGAGCGGAGGTGAGCGATCAAGTGAGCAGAGCGCTCAAACGAGGCAAGATCAGGAAACAGGAACGGGAGGAAAAGACGGCCAAGAGAGACAGTAGCGGGAGTAGAGTAGCGGGCCTTAATCGCAGTGAGGTACGCAGCAGCGGTGCGAACCTGAGTAAAGTGGACCTCCTCAGACTCAGGGAGGAGGCTGCTGATTGCGATGCAGGCCGCAGCGTCACGCGACGTCCAAGCCGTCCGGTCAGCGCGCTGACGGGCAAAGCGAGCCGTAGCAGCGTCGTCAGGAGCAGGGCCTAAAGCTGTAGGCTCGGGGGGCTCGGGGAGGTCACCAGTAGCGTGTGACCAGAGGGTCTCGCCCCCCTGGACCTGACTCTCTAACAGACGGCGAGCGCGAAGAAGCCAGACGGAAAAGTCAAGTGGTCTACCGTCGGCGTCGAAACGAAGAACTCGCGGAGTCGCCATAATGAGAACTAAAGCGAACGAACAGGCGAGTAAGAACCGGGGGGGAAGAGGACTCAGTTGCAGCGGAAGAGCGGGCTAGGGCGACGGGCCAGGACGTAGGGAGGGCAACGGGCCAGAGCCTAGGGTAGGGCGACGGGCCAGGGCCTAGGGTAGGGCGACTGGCCAGGGCTTAGGGTAGGGCGACGGGCCAGGGCTTAGGGAGGGCGACGGGCCAGGGCCTAGGGTAGGGCGACGGGCCAGGGCCTAGGGTAGGGCGACGGGCCAGGGCGTAGGGCAGGGCGACGCGACGGGGGAAAGGGCGGGAGCGACGCGACGGGGCAGGGCGACGCGACGGCACAGGGCGACGCGACGGGGCAGGGCGGCGCGACGGGGCAGGGCGACGGGACGGGGCAGGGCGACGCGACGGGGTAGGGTGACGCGACGGGACAGGGCGACGGGACGGGGGGGGGAACAGGCGGGCACGACGCGATGGGAGGAACGGGCGCGACGCGACGGGGGGGAAAGGGCGTGACGCGACGGGGGGAAAGGGCGCGACGCGACGGGGGGGAGGGGAAAGGGCGCGAGGCGACGGGGAGAAAGGGCGCTAAGCGACGGGGGAAAGGGCGCTAGGCTCGGTACTAGGCGCGGTAACAACGGAACTGGTACGAACGAGAGGTAGGATCAGGCTCGGGAGGTACGAACGGAGAACGGAGGAACGGGATCCCACAGGATCCTAACCTAGCTGATACCATGTCATAATGAGGAATGAATGGTTCCATTGATGTTGGTTGGGGTACATATAACAAACCCTAACTTCTGTACCCCCTAAGACAAACCTCACTACAGGCTACAACATTTGACACCCCTTCTATCCACCCAGACCTCCGCTCGTCCTAGTTGCTTGGGGACCCCTTCCGCCCCCCCTAGCCCTTTCCCCTTTTTGAGCATAGAGAGCTCCCCAGTTCTGCTGGTGGCTATCCAATGGATAGAGGAATAAAGTGTTTTCCTACGTACGCCATTGGGCTGTTGGTTTGTGTAGACCAGCTGCTCTATGCTTTTGCTGTACATGGTTAGGACCTTAAATAACCTTAACATTAAATGTGAACCCAGAAATGTGTTACGAGGTTGGTGGATCATAGAGTCTTGTTGAGTCCCTGACTGATCCTTGCGTTCCTTCTGCTCCTTGGGCTGTTTGTTGTACAGTTCCTTGGACGGCATAAAGATTGAGTGACTTGGGAGTCTGCGAGATATTGTGAAGCAGCAACGCATGCCTATGTGAGGCATCGACATTTCGCAGTCCTGTCATACGTAGATCCTATACATGTTACCTTTTCTTTTACGTTTTCCGTACGCGACAGAATGATACCCTCTACAGCTTCGCGCTGCTGGGTGTGCATGTTACGCGGGTCGCGTAGCTAAAAAGAACACAGTTCCAACTCACACATTCGTGGAAAGAGGATCGTTCTGAGTCGTCTCAAGCCAAACTCATTTCACGTGCACCCATTACCAAGCCACACACTCACCGTTTCTCGTCGACGCCACAGCAGCTGCCACAATGCTGCCATGCTGCCTGGCGGTGTGGGGATGCGCGTGCTGCGGGTGGGCCGTGCACCGCCTCGTCCGCAAGGGCGCGGACGCCAGCCGCGACTGGCCCGCCGCGTCAAAGGACGAAATGGCGGACTTTCCGCGCCTCGCGACCCTCATACTCGCGTCGTACGAACCCGACTTACCTAAGTGCCTACAGCTCCTAGAGTCCGTTTCCGACGATCACGGTAACATCCCCCCGCAAACCGACGCTGCCGCTGCCGGGAAACCATCCAAACAAAGCGACTCCGACGCCACGCACGCGCAATCGGCGAAGGAAAAGGACCCCGATTCCGAATCCAACGGCAAGGACGGTCAGCCGAAAGGAAAGCGGGAAGTGATAGAGGCGCGCGTGCTGCGGAAAGTGGAGCAGCGGGAGACGGAGGGGCAGTGCCCGTCGTACCTAGTGTACCTGGACGAGGCGAATGAAGACATCACCGTGGCCATGCGCGGCATGAACCTGACTCAAGTGTCGGACTATGCGATCCTCAGGAACAACCGCAAGGGCAAGCAGGTCCGTGCGTCCTCACGAACGCTCCCCGCTTGTCCAGGTGTCTTTTGAGTCAACTCAAAGTACACTTGAACCTGACGGTACTGTCGGACTATGGGATCCTCCAGAACAACCGCAAGAGCAAGCAGGTCCGCGTTCCGCCTGTCCGCTCTCCGCTTCCCACTACCTTCTGTCCATTGCCGCTCTCGTGTTGTTGTTTTTCTCTTCTTTTTTTCCATGCTTTGCCTTTTTAATCTGCTTTCCTGCATTCAATCTCCCTCCCCGCGCCATCGTCCACTGCCCCCCTCATTGTCCAGAAGGTCAGTACAGAGCTCAGCCGTGACTTCCCTCTCCCCCACCCGCTCTCCCGCTTCCCTCCTCCCCTTGCCCCCCTCCCCTTTCCCCTCTCCCCCTCCCGCACTCCCTCCCTTCCCCCCTTCCCCCCCTTACCCTCCAGATGTTACGTGCACTGCGGTTTACTCACCGCAGCAGGCGCGTTTCTGGATCTCGAGATGGACCACCTCAAGCGCCTCCTGCGCCGCCACCCCTAGCACACACTCACACCCACCGGCCACTCCCCTTGCCCACCCCATTCCCCCTTTCCCCATCTCGCCCATCCCCCTCTCCCCCTTCCCCTATTCCCTTTCTTTCCCCATTCCTGCTCCCCACTCTCCCCTTTGCCCTCCTCTCCCTCCTCTCGCTATGCCCCCCAAGATGTTCGATTGCGGTTACGTGCACTGCAGTTTACTTGCAGCAGCGGGCGCATTTCTGCATCTCGAGATGGACCACCTCAAGCGCCTCCTGCTCGCCTACTCCCCCGCCCCTATTTCCCTCTGGCCCTCCAGATGTTTGATGGAGGCTACGTGCACTGCGGGCTACTCGCAGCGGCAGGCGCGTTTCTAGACCTCGAGATGGACCATCTCAAGCGCCTGCTGCGCCGCCACCCCACTCACACTCTCACACTCACGGGCCACTCCATAGGCGCGGGTGTGGTGGCGCTGGCAGCCATGGTGCTGGCCAACAACCTGCGTGAGCTGGGCCGCGTGCGCAGAGGCCGCATCCGCTGCGTGGGGTTCTCTCCTCCGCGCTCTGCTTCTCTGAACCTGGCAGTGCGCCATGCGGATATCATCACCTCGGTCGTGCTGCAGGTGGGTGGTGCTGCAGGTGGGTGGTGCTGCAGGTGGGTGGTGCTGCAGGTGGGTGGTGCTGCAGGTGGGTGGTGCTGCAGGTGGGTTGTGCTGCAGGTGGGTGGTGCTGCAGGTGGGTGGTGCTGCAGGTGGGTTGTGCTGCAGGTGGTTGGTGCTGCAGGTGGGTTGTGCTGCAGGTGGGTGGTGCTGCAGGTGGGTGGTGCTGCAGGTGGGTGGTGCTGCAGGTGGGTGGTGCTGCAGGTGGGTGGTGCTGCAGGTGGCTAAGTTGGAATATACGCGTTTAGTGTTTTGTACGCTTGCTGTATAAACGCTAGAGTATATACGCAAACCGCAGTCCCTGAGGGGTCTGGTACGCACAAGAATCCGCTTGCCCGGGCAGGAAAAAAGTTTTCCCCGGGCAGATTTTTGGGGTAAGAGGTGGGGATGGGGGGGTGTTGTAACCCCCATCTCTTTTGTATTAATATGAAAGTTACAGGAAAAAAAACACTTAAAACTAATCTGCCGCTACAACTTCACCCACCTTAATCATGCTACTACCCCCCCATCCCCTACTCTACTCAGGTCCACCCTCCATCCCCCGCCTGCTGCTCATGCATGGAGCCTTCCATCCACTAGTACTCATCTGCCATCACATCATCCTCCCCCTTCTCAGGTTCCTCCACCTCCTCCGGGACGTTATAGCCAGCCGGAGTGGGGGGGTCCTCGATGTTTCCCTTCACCACCCCCAGCCCTTCAGGGGCCTTGTGCCAGTTGTGCACCACGTGCCAATTGTGCGTGACATACACCAGGTCACGAATCTTCACCGCGCTGAGGCGGTTCCTCCTTGCCGTATGCACTGCATCAAACTTCGCCCAGTTACGCTCACATGGAGACGCGGACACTGGCTGCGTGATGGCGCGGCAAGCCATGGTGGTGAGCTCAGGAGGATCGGTCCCGTGCCATGTCCACCAGTCCACCGCCGTCATCTTGCCCTCCTTCACTGCCTGGCGGTCGGCAATAGCGTCGGGCATGCCGAAGCTGCCTTGGAGGTTCAGGAAGGCATTGAGGCCTTCCTGGATGACAAGAGAGGCGCGGCGCTCGACCCCGTCCTTCCTGGTGACCGTCTTGTCACCATGGTGCTTGGAGACGTACTGCTTGAAGACCCTCGTGCACTCCAGGTCGGTGCGGAAAATGCACTCTTCCTGGTTGGTGGGGTAGAGGATGCGGCTAATCACGTGCAGGTTGCACGCCAGCCCGTTGTCCTAGCGGTCCTGCACGATCTCCCGAATATCCCCCACCTCGTCGCTTGTCAGGTACACTTCCGCATGCTCGTCGAGGAAGTCGCGGATGTCCTCGGTGAGCTGGAGCATGAAGTCGTAGAGACGACCCATCATGCCCTTCGAATCCGAGTCAGTCTTGCGCATGACGACAAATGGCAGCCTCATCAGCTTAGCGAAGAACTCGGCGCGCGTCCACCACGCGGCATCGAGGATGTTGTCTTTGAATGTGTCTGCCCCAGCCCTGTCTGCAGCCGGAGTCCACTCGACCCACTCATCGCTGAGGACCATCTGCGTCAGGCCGGCGCGCACTTCACAGAGGCGGTTGATGGCGATGTAGTTGGTGCCGAATCGGGTTCCCGCGGACTTGAGAACTTGTTTCCCCTTGCCGCCATTCACGAGCGGACTCCGCATGTATCCCCGGGTGAAGTGATGGTTGCGGACGAACGAGATGAGGGTGTCCCCGCGCGTGACGATGTCCTTCGCCCATCCCTTTTTCCCGATGTCCTCCATCAGGAGATCGAGGACATGGGTCGCGCAAGGGATGTGTTCAATGTGGGGATACTCGCGCATCAACACCCTGCATGCCGCCGCGTAGTTGGAGCCGCCGTCAAAACACAAGGTGACGACATTCTCGGGGCCGACCTTTTCGATGATGGGCCGCAAGATGCCCGCGATGTAGCCCCCGGTCTTCATCTCCATCTTCGTGTCGATCGACTCCACAAACACCGCACCGCTATCGTTGATGAGGAGTACGTTGACTTGCGGGCGGCCGGCCTTGTCAGAGAACATGTCGCTTGCCACGGTGACACCGTCACGGCGCCAGCTTGCTGAGATAGGAGCGAGTGCCGCCTCAATGCGCTAGCGACACTTTGCAAGACCGGCGCCACCGATGTAGCGTCTCTTCGGCGCGACGTAATTCGGCCCCGCGCGCTGGATGCTGGAGACCACATTCCGCCACAGTGGGTGGCCCGCGTGATGCTCCGGCACATGAAGAGCGGCAAAGAAGAGGCTTATGGCCTCGTCCGCAGCTTGGTTCGCGCACGCGGCGTCGTCGCCGTAGAAGTCGGTCTTCCGACTCTTCTTCTTGTCCGAACCTCTGCCGTTGACTACGCCGACCGCCGCGATTTCAGCCGCACGCTTCGCATCACGGGCCTTCAACTTGGACTCGTAAAGCGCCTTCATGGCGTCACGTGCAGTCTTCGACGCTGTAGTGCAGAGATGCACTTCACGACGGCGCATGCCGTTCCAGCTGGTGATATGCTGCGCGCAACGGTGAACCCCGCCAACAAACGTGAAGTTGCAGCAGGCACACACCTTGGTGCCGTTCTCGCCAACGCTATTGGCCGGCACCTTGAAGTGACGGTAGACTGCGTGCTTGTTGTCCATGCAGACCAAAGACGTACTAGAAGAGGTCCCACCAGCGGAACTACCAGGAGACTCTGAGGGTGGTGTACGAGAAGTGGTTGCTGTAGGAGTGGAAGCCATGGTGGCTTGGGAAAGGAGATAGCTAGAATAGGAAGCGAGAGAATGAATGTCGAGGGAACAAACGTCTCTCTTTATGCCCGGGATATTGGGTTGGGTTGAGCTCCCAACCTTTAAAGTAGCACTTGGAGGGGATGGTGGAATGCTGTGGTTCAAAGGGGTGTGAAACGTTTGAGGGGAGGGGTTGATGAGGTTTGGTGCTCGAAATTCAAAATTTGAGTTCATTTCGCGACATCTGCGACTCGGAATTGAGATCGCCACGTCGCGAGCTTCAGATTGAAATTTTGTTTTTTTTTTCGGTCTGCCCGAAATTCAACTCCGCGA